ACCAATTAGCTACCTGTATTTGTAATCCCTAGTGTATTATACATGTATATTAACTCAAAAATTTGAAACTTTAAATGTTTATATCTAATAAACGAATAAAGTTATATTGAAACTTCAAATGCCATTTACTATTAAATTAAAAACTCAAACATTTTATTAAATTCAAAATATGTGTTCTCATTTAAAAAACTGAACTTAATGTTTTTTAACCTTGAAGGGATGAAAAATATTATGTTTTTACTACATATTATTGTAGTGTTTTTTGAATCAAACAATATTTTTCTTACCAAAAATTTTTAATTTTCAATAGTTACTGAGTAAACGAGTGTCTTATCTTGAATGAATCAACTTGTATATTATATATATCACCTATATATAAGTGTAGTTGCATAACTATAGTTACATATTGTTCTGAGTTCATATGATTATTTTCTATAATTTTTCGTTCTAGTTAATAAGATAAAGTAACTAAATTTCTAAATTTTAACTTTAACGTGTTAGTGCTTGGTCTTCACAAAATCTGTTACAAGCTTTTAATGTATTTAATATTCAGAGTAATATTAATTACGTTTTTATATGTTTGTTATTCTGATTATAATACAATATATTCCCAAATATAATTTATTAATAAACTACTTAAAAGTATGAAAGTTTTACTTTAAATAATTATTCAACTACTATAATAGTATAATACACCAACTATTAGTTTTACATTTGATGTTAAGTTGAGAAGGTACTTTTTGTGATACCGTTAATTAAACGGTTAATTAAGCTTTACCTCTTTATTATCAGATATTATAACAAATTATTAAAAGTTTTTTTTAAAGAAATGGAAAATTTTATTTCAAAAATAAACATGGTTTTTGCATTTTTTTAAGATGATCATAGACGATTTTGTATAAGTTAAGGTGAAAATTATAAATAACTACTGTAACTGTGAAAAGTTTTCTATATAATTGGATAAGCCATTCATTGAAGTATTTTTTAAACGCCAAAAAAAGTTTGCAATGATATTATAAAAAAAAGAAATATTCAAATTATAGATAAAGTACTCCCGTCACGTCGGGAATTTTTTTTATAAATATTTTTTTTTTGTCCACCTGGGCCGCCTGTCTGTCGATGTATAATATTATTACTTTTTCTGAATTTTGACACAACAACGGCTGTATGACTTTAGTTGCATAAAAGATAAAACTATGAGATCGTAACTTCCGCTTTGGATGATTAATGACCGGTGACGCCTGTCGTATGTACCGGCGCGACATCAAGTCTCCTCCTCTCAATTTACCCTCCACGTAGCCTATTCTTTATATTTTTTTCGTCCTCGCCACATTTAGCTACCAGGATTTTGTGTGGTTGACGTATTGCTTTACCTGTGATTGATTTAAATGAATAAATGCTCTGCTTAAATATATATGCATACAGATTAAACAAATTTAATTTAAAAAATTTATTTTAATAGTTATTGGGAACACAGCTATTTGTTTTTGTTACTGTATTTATTCGAATGATAATTAATTTTTGTAGATTTTTTTTAATCTGATTAATTAATTGATAGGAAAGTATCCCTATTTACTTTTCAATGACTGTAGATTAATCAAAATTTAAAATAAATGCGTTGTTGATATTAATATCCCTATTTTTAGTATTCTTGACTTAAATAGTATTTAGTAATGATTAATTTATATGATATATTTACAATTATAATTGAAAATATAGTAATATAAGTTTGATCGGTTTAATTAATCAAATCTAATTGCTTAAAATAATTAAATCTTCATAATTCTTTTCTCAAGAAGTTATTTATACAAAAAATAGTTTTAAGAGATATATGAAAGAAAAATGGAGAATTTTAATTTATGAATAATCTCATTTTACTTTTTATTATGTTATATCTTTTCATAAAAGGTATACAATATTATAAATACAAAACTATTGTATATTATATCAAGTCTATCTAATATAATTAAATTTTTTTTCTAATTATATAGAATTACTTATAGTCTTTTATATTTAATATAAAAGACTCACGAAAGTGGCAAAGATTTTAATATTTAAAATAAATTTTCGACTTTTTCAATATTTTTGCTTTCTCAGTGTTATTATATAATACAATATAATTTTGCTTTTACTGCATTGAACGTCTATTGTCGTTTGATTCAGTACTTTTCATTTATATTGTCATATCATCTTTAGTTATTCTTGGCGCATACAAGTCATTTGGCATGAATGCATTTCTCTAGACTAACACTTATTCTGTCTTCATGATTTTCCTCACCCAGAACAACAAGCCAACTATGATCGCCAATAAGATAATCGGTTTGGTTATTCCATCGTTTTATTGTACGAATAATAACAATTATAATATCAATGTCCTGCCATTTTATAGTGTCCCATTAAACGATAAACGCAAAATCTATTGTCCAAACATAAAAAAACCGAGTTGTAACATAGTACATTGTTGTCAAATGCAATTCTAAATAGCTACAAATCACATCTTTTAAATAACACATCATTCAACGCTTATAAAATAAGTTTTGAAATTCTGATAAAATAATTTTAGGTCCTAATAAAATACATAATAGGTAACACATATCATTTATCAGTTAAATAACTTCAATAATATTTAACTTACGTGAAATAAATGAAAAACTTTTTACAACGATTACAGACTATAAAATTACTTTAAATTATGTGGTTTGTCCTTAAATTCGGAACTGAGTTCATATGAACCTGTACGTGACAGTTATACACGGAAAGTACACTAAAACTAATTGCATTATAGTATACGCAATTAATTTTAATATTGGAATTTGTTTAATGAATTTTCTGACAGCTTGGTTTTCAAAAAATATGATTTAAACTTTGACTTTATCACTATGATTTTTTTCGCAAAAATTCATTCGTTTTATGGATTAAGCTAACCCGGTGAATTTAATCCAGGAGTTTCTTTTGACAATTTATTTCACCTTAAGTTTTGCTGACCAAGGTTTAATGAAAAAAGTTAACAAAAACTGCAGAAAAAAAAGAAATCATCAAACGTCAAGAAGGTTGATGAGGATTATTTAGAAGAAGGCGAAAGATTGCAAACTGTTTGGAAATATAATTTCATTATAAGAAATGAATACACTTGTCAACTAGGAAAAAATTATCATTAATATTTATTATTATTTTTAATTTAAAAAGCACAAGAAAAAATAAATTCATAAAAAAAAATACCGGTTATAATTTAACAAATCTGTAGTTTTATGTCCATTGTTTACAATTTGAATGTGTATCTATACTAACAATATAGCTATAGACTTTTTTTATTTAATTTGAAGTTTTAATGAAAATTAAAAAGCATTTCTCGTTATTTTAAAGCTTTAACAATAAAATATTATTACATTAATAATAGTAATCAAAAATATATTTTTGTTAAAACAGAGATATATTAAAAAAAAAAAAATTTTAATTTTTCCACTGATCTAAAGCTTCAGTACATTGATCATAAGCTATTAATAAAATAACTTTTATTTTTACGTTCATAACATGACACATTTAATGTATAACATATTTTACAACTACATAGAACTACGGTTATATAGTATAAAATTATACTTACAATATGGAATAATTTAAATCTGCATCTAAAAATTCTCATTAGTGTTTTTTGGGAAAACCAAAAATTGATTTTAGTTTTAAATGTATTCTTATTTTTACATTTTGTGAATAAGTGTTAAAAATGTTCCACGGCATTGGCTATTGTTTTTTCTTTCTTTTTAACTTTAATTATTATTTTTATAATTATTATCATCTTTGTATCAAAAGGCTTGGACGTGTCGACTGCGAATTAAATTGGCCTTTAAGCCAAAAATCCTCTAAAAAAGTTTCATGTATCAGGTGTGTGCTCCCATGTTTTATTTTATTTTGTAAAATATTATGACCGTTCTTGAAAAACTATTATTTTTTACCGAATGCGAATTTTCATTTATAGAACACTTGGTCACCATTTATTTATGTAGAAATTTAAACGATAATTTGACTTGAATCATATAAAAATAAACTTATTTGAATAATTGTATTATAGAACTATGTAATAAAAATGGTATTATAGAAATGTTTTTGTAATATATGTACAAATTAAAATTGTTAAATAACGGCTTTGAATCAATAATAAATACAATTTTTTTTAGCTTCGTTTATTATTGTCCAAAATATAAAAATTGACAACTTACATTTAAAAAAAAAATAGCTCACTATTTAGTTTATTATATTGCTCTCTTTGTTAGTTTTTTCACTTAACGAGAAAAAACTAATATGATGTAATAGGTCCAATAATTCAAAGTCATATGACTATATACATTTCCTATCATCCCTGAAAATCTCATAATTTTTCGAATAATAATAAAAATATATCTCATTATATTCATTGTCATTTATGTTTAATTATTAATTGACATATTTTATTAGTAATAACTTATTATATCAAAGTTTAAATACAATGATTACATATTTATTGTTTTTATATTAAATTTATATGGAGTAGTTTTCATAAAAAAATATTTTAAAGTATAGGCAATCCGTACATATTTTCAATAACGTATCACTTATAAACCAAATATAAATGGGTATTTTCTCCAACATTCACCTAAGGTTAAGATTTATTTTAAATAACTTTTAATTTTAAATCGTGTAATGGTTTAAATAATGGTCTTATTTTTTGTACTTTTTGTACTGTCTTACAGTTTTTACATCATATAGTCTTGTATTCATTAATTATCAATATTTTTATTCATTACGTAATATTCATTAGTATTATAAGTGCAAATAAGTATAAAATTAAATATTATTTTGGAAGAATATCCTTTAATATTTTTCATTGAATTACATTTTTATAAAAAAAAAAAAATAAAAGTAATATAATTTATTAGCTTTATTAAAATATCTTACAATATAAAATAGTAGTATTTCCAAATCAGAACAATGTTCAAAATATTTTGCTTTCTATTATTTTTTAGATCCTTTAATGCCTAGGTTCGCTGAACCGATACCCAATGTCACGGTGAGTGTGGGACGAGATGCTTTGCTGGCTTGTGTTGTGGATAACTTACGAGAATTTAAGGTAAATATGGGAACATAAAATTGAAACATATTTTTCTAACAGAGTATTTTATCTAAATTTAAATTGAAGAAACGAGCTATTCCGAGGGTTTTTGTTCCTGTAAAACTAGTAATATTTATCAAAAAATATTTATTTACTAAATTAAACAAAACCTGAAATAGAATCAGTTAATTATGTATTATTTTTCGTAGAATAGGGAAAAACAATTGTGACATTTCATAAACTTTTAAAATTGCTTTATTGAAATGTACAAAATGTAACAATGAAACGTCCTTTCAACGAAAACGCTGCAGACCAACCTTTTTCCATTAAGGGGATGTTTCCGTATAACAGGGTTTAATTTTAATCTATAAAAAAAAACAGTATCATAGATTTTTTTGTTTAAAAAAGGGTTTTGCCTAATAGAGGGTCCGATGAAAGGAAATTTCATTGTATTAATAAAATTGTATTCGAAGTACAGATAGATAAAAGTTTTTAATTAATAAAAAGTATTAAAATTTGAGCATTTACACGAAAGTAAAGTTAATAAATTTGATAACTAATTTAAATTTCACTAAATATCAAATGAAGATGAGGTATATCAAATTTTCTTATTTTATTAGTGATGTAAAATATTTATTAAGTATTAGTTATTAGTTGATAATGAACTTTCACTGTTGTACACAAGTTTCTTTGAATCCTGAATTTTGGTTCCATTTTTTTAAATGTAAAACATTCAAATAGATAAAAAATTGAGAGTAAAATATTTTAGAATTATCAAAGAACGTGACTAATGATATTAGATAAAAATGTTGTTAAGTTTATTTATTAGTTCAGTTTTCCCTATTAGCCATGATAACATATAAATTTAATTGCACCATAATATTAAAGATTACAAGAACTAAAGCACTGAGATAATTTTTAGTTTATATGATCTTGATAAATATTTATTGCCATTAGAAGTTTTATTTACAGATAGGAATTTTGTATGTTGCATCTTAAAAATGTTTTATGTGTACCTTTATTTTTAAACAGTCAATTTTATTAGGTGCACATTTCAAATAATAATGATTTTTATTTTTTCAATTATGTTTTTAGGTGATATTTCGTTAAAACATTATGAGCTCTCTCCAACGACCATACCACGTTGAATACACCAGTTCTCGTCCGATCACTGAAGTTAAGCAACGTCGGGCGTAGTTAGTACTTGGATNGCGTGGGTTCGAGTCGACACTCAAACTATACTAACTATCCACCACAATGTCATTAGTCAAAATCCAAGACTAACTCTGTCATACAATGACCATCGGTCGTGGTATTTGCACATCAAGGACGTTCAAGAAGAAGATCGAGGATGGTACATGTGTCAGGTAAACACCGATCCCATGCGCAGTAGACAAGGATACTTACAAGTTGTTGGTACGTATTGTTATCGTTTAGTGAAAATAGCTGGCATTAATATTGTAATTTATTATTAACAGATAAATATTTTTATATTTTTTACAGTTCCTCCGAGTATTGTAGACAAGGAGACGAGCACAGACATGGTAGTACGCGAGGCGAGTAATGCTACTTTAGTATGCAAAGCGGCCGGGTATCCGGAGCCGTATGTTATGTGGCGACGAGAGGACGGAGACGATATTAATTATAACGGAGAAACAGGTACGATTACACGCGTTTAAAATAAATATACGATTACACGTATTACAGCTGTGCATGTGTTTAATTCGTGTGAAAGTACTATGGTAATATTTCGCAATAACAAGGTGGGAAGTATAAAGCTTTATGTTTGAGTGTACGGTAACCATCGAAATCAAAATAATAATTGCAAGATTACTTCTCGATGAATTTCGTTAGGTGCGCGTTATTCAGCCTATATCAACAACTATGTTTAATAGTTACCAAGAATTAAAGACAACATATTAATCATAAGAGTAAGCGATTCCTAGAAAATTAAATGAACCAGTCGATTTCGTCAAATATTAATCATATAATTTAGTACAGTTAACGCGATTAATTTACTAAAACATATCGTTTCACTACACTAACACGAAAATGCATTAATTATTTTATTTATAAACTTTTTAAAGGCTTTTAAAATTATGTTTTGTTTGTATTTAATAAAAATTCAATTTTCATAGTATCAAACATATATCAGTGGATATTTTAGTAAAATCATAAAATGTAATTAGATTTTTACTTCATATTAGTGGACTAGTCATAAAAAAAAAGAACACCATATTTTATTTTGAAATAGAAGACATGCCACTTAGACTAATTGATTTGGCAATAGATAGTCGAAATCTGTTTTCTTTCTTTGTTAACAAAGTCAAGGAAATAAGAGTATAAAAAGAGGAACTAAATGCAATCAAGTGTAACGATCACGTCTAAAAAAATGGATAAAAGCATAGCAGACCAGTAGTACTAATTGAAATAATACAGAGGCTTTTTGGAATAAAAAAATGAAATTGTTACAGACAAAAAAATAGTTTTGTGATCGTGCATACAAAAAATTAAATAAGATATAATAATTTACTGAACAAAATGTATCCAACGTAAGTTATAAAGTATATTTTTACTACCTTTAAAATGTTAAGTTGAGTATAAATAAGATATTATCTTGAAGTAATTTTTTTGTATTATATCTTATATTTATTACTATTATTATGTCTTGACCTTACATACTTATAGTTTAAGGCAATTTTAATTAATAAATTTATGTTTTTAATTGTAGAAAAAAGATAGAGTCTGTATAAAATATACAATAAGTACTTATGATAAAAAAAAATTATTGTACATATGTAACTTTGGAAAAAAAAACAATAATTTGTGGATATTCCACCCAGTGGTGGAACTCCAACTGACTTAGTAATTTAGTAAATTAAAAAGTTATTATAATATAATTAATTTTATAATTGAAGTAGATCCCTACTCCAAGATCTTGGCGATCCGGAGGATTATCTGGAATTTTTTGGGATGATAGGATTTGAATGATTTTGAAGTCGGTTGTGGAATTTTTTGTATTTAAAGATAGTTTATTTTACGGTAAGGAGTTAGAGGTCATTACGGATTGTTTTATATGATATGTAAGGAGGGACGTTGAGTATACGGCGAAGACACTTAGATTGGAAAACATGAATTTTGTTAATGTTCTATATTTTTATCAAACAGCAACACATTCTTTTGTGATATACATTGTTATTCAATAGTACTAACACACATGTACAACCACGTTAATTTTAATTATGGTGAGAAATTCATATTTAATGTAATTTTTGAACATCAAAATTTTAGGCATTAGTACTCTAAGGTAATTTTTCAACTATCTTTCTTAAATATTCTATAATGCATAATTACAGTATTATACAAATTTCAAATTTAAAATCCATTCACTGAAGTCAAGAAAAATCTTAGAAACTTAACCTCGTCTTCTTACGCCAACTTACTCTAAGTAAAGTGCTTAATTTTTATTGTTGTTTTTTAGTGTTTTGAGCAATTAAATACATAGTTCACTTTCTAAATCGAGTAACATTCTTTGAATATTAGAGAATAATATAATCAATGTATAATAAATAATTTCTCGGGATATAATTTTCGTTTAAATTGAATTATTACAAAAGTTAAAAAGTTATACTAGAATCACTTTTTCACATTTTACATCAACAAAACGCATCTATCAACTGTTTTCTAAAACATTTTATTTTTGTAAAATAATGTGAATATTTTTTCATTTAAAAATTTCGTTGGATTACATACATTCAATAAAAACTTACCTAATAAACCATAACGTCAAACCGCCGTTGTTTATTTAAGGTCATAAATAAAACCTTATTCTTTACCTTTTTCTACTGTCACCGACTGCAGAGTTTCAAGATTACTGCAAAATGAATTGCTTTCCATACGTACTATCTATTCGCCGTGAGCGCTTTATGATGAAAAATTATAATTCTTTTAGTTTACATACGTGTGTTGTAATTGTGCGCACCAGAAAAACTCTTTTTTTGCAATTTACGAAATAGTTGGATGTCATAATATAAATTCAAATACGGGAAGAATTTTTCAAGCATATAATTTAACATTCTATTAATATAAATTTAAATTAATGATAAATATTCAAAGGATATTGCACTAATAACAATTTTTATAATTGTTATTGAATCAACAATTATTTTTGAAGAATTACTTTTGTTTATTGTTTTAATGCCGTTTTACATCATTTTATTCAATTTTATTTATTTATGTTACAAAAAATTTTTAAATTTTGTTCAGTGATTTAGCATGAATTTATATTTCAATAATTTTTTAGTTACATTAACAACATTAACTGACTTGCAATCGGAAATAGTAATATTATTTAGAAAAATTGCATTTATTAAAAATGTATAAAATTATTTTTTAGTGTAGGACATCAAATGAATAAATATTTAGGAATCCCTGTAATATTAATAGTAAACATAACATTTGCGTTACTCATTTATCAAATTCTTTTTACTTTAAATTTAATTAATAAAATTTTCACTTAAATTTTAGTTTTTCGTGTTTAAAAATAATATTTATTCGTGTAATATAAGTCTTAGCTTTTCATTTGAATATAATAACTTAAAATTTTATTTTTTGACTATATCGAAAATGAAGGATATGTTATCTATATAATTATTGTGAATAATTATCATTATCAGATATTATCTTTTTTTCTAATAAGAATTCTCTTAGAAAATCAAAAAACTTCCAGCCTTTACTATTCACCTTAGAACTTAGGGTTTATTTGTGCCACTATTATAGGATTGCCTAATGGTCCTAAGTAAAATGTTGCCGTGTGGTAAACTCAAGGGATTCGTCCCACATGCTGTTTAGTAATGTATAACATTAATTGACCGTATCGTCAGTATCTCATGGTGACCAACCAGCTTTTTTTACATGCACTTATGGTCGTATCGATTTACACTTGTCATGGTAACTTTTATTACTCTATGCAGAGAGTGTGTAGGCTTGTGATTATAATCACTGTATACTTAATAACTCACGTGATCAACACCCATTTTGATCGGCCACAGTTGCCAATAATGTCACAGCTTAATAAGATATATTTTCTGGTCATTTATTGTGTGTATGTCCATCATACTGACTGTAGTTTAATTTGACACACCTCCGTGCCAATCGTAGAAATATTCCGTTTGCCCTAAGCAATTTATATATTACATCCGGACGGATGGCCGCTCGGGAAAACAAAACCAAGTTCTGTACACAAAATACATTCAATACTTGTCCGTCGATCGAAAAGCTGTGTAATTTATCCGGTTTTCCTTTTCTATTGCCCACCTACATTCCGCTGAACTATTGTCAGTTTACCAACATAGTCTATTGCGTGCAGTAATGAAACGGATGTTCTGTACTCGCATGTACATGATAAGGTAGATATTCGACTGGACAGATTTTTGCTAAAGCCCCCGGGCACATTGTTCTGCAGAATGCCATAGTACGTCTAACTCTCTGGAGACATTCACTGACCTACGTATCCTTTCCTTATACATATATTACTCGTATAAACTTCACAAGCACTTCCCACCTGTTTATACTTACTTTGGTAAATATATGAGTCGCAGCGGGTAATTTCGTATATCATATATATTTTTCGTGTTTTCTGGAGAATATTATGTTACTAAAATATGACCTCTGCAACCAAATTTTTGATCTTCGACGAAAATGATTGCGCCATGAATTTTAATTTAAGTTCATATATAAAATAATAAATAATGATGTATGATTTCCCGTTATTCGAATATAAATTACATTTTATTTGAATAACGGTAAATCATACATACATGTTGATAAAGTTTTAACTTTTTTATTTGATAAGATAAAATACGATTTTTAAAAATGGAGTCACTACCAACAAAGAATCTAAGTGTATACTTGTTGTTATAAAGTTCCTACAATAAAATATTAAAGAGGGTGCACAACTTCGAAAGCTAAGAAAAATATCATTTTCTTAGTCAATAATAAATGAATACATATCAAATGCATTGTAAATCGTACACAATTCTGTATATTCTCTAGTGCTTGTGAATATACACATTTTTTAATAATTAAGTTTAATCTTGGAAATTAAACTCTTATGTTTCGTATTACAGATAAATTATGAAAATATTTGTAAAGATTTTCACAGTACTATAAACATTTTTGAAACTTAATTGATTTTTTCAATATGATTATTTGAGCTAAACATAAAACTCTTCAGTTCGTAAATAAAAACATCTAAATGTTTGTCCATTGTATCACCAAACCTTGCAACAAATTTTAAACTTTTTAAGAACACTCAAGTCAAATACCCCAATCCTTATCATCGCCTCCAGCTTTGTCATTTAACGGCAACTTTAAAACTGCCATGATAAATATATTGAACAATAAAAGAAACTTTGAAGTAATCAATAAGTTACCCTACATGTTAAACCGTAACTTGGAGACTTTCTTTAGGTAAGCGAATAAAAAAAAAATACAGGACCAATAGAATTTTAAAGACCAGCAACTCATAAATAAAGAGGGAAACCGTAGAGTGGCGAATGTTGACAAAAATAATGTTATACCATATCTATTATATCTGACATATCTAAAATTTTTAAATTAATTACAAGATCATGATGATTGTGATATTTTATTTATTTATAAAATATATGAATATTTTTTATGATATGATGTTATAACTTCTAAAAAACATTAATATTTGTTAATTAAGTTGGTAAAATTATTTAGGTTGTTTTAAAAATAAAAAAGCTAACATGTTAAAAAATTTATTTTAGATATCATTAAACAAATTAATATATTGAAATAAACTTATTAACTATAAATTATCGATTTCTCATCAACAACTGGGTGTAACTTTAAGTACTTAAATCACCGCTAAATGTATTAACTAATGTTTTATGTATTTCAGTAGTATATTTATATGAGATTAATATAATGTAATCAATGTTTTATAAATTAATATTTGAGACAATTAAATTTTTTGCCTGAAAGGGGTCGGCCTGACCTAAAATTATTTTTGTGAGAATATCGTAAGTTAAATTAAAAGAATATTAAAATAATATTTTATGCATTATTCTGTTTAAAATAAAAATAGCCAACAACACGTAGTGTTCCCAAGCGGTCACCCATCCAAGTACTAACTACGCCCGACGTTGCTTAACTTCAGTGATCGGACGAGAACTGGTGTATTCAACGTGGTATGGTCGTTGGCAAGAGCTAATAAAGTTTTAACAAAATATGAATGTAGTGTAGTTTTTTTCTATATAAATATGTTTTAATTGGTGATTGACTTCTGTAAGAATATTTATTACTATGATCTTATTACTTATATTATACACGTTGTATTTTCATTGCATATAATTTATAATATTAATTAAAACATATTTAGATAGAAATAAACTACAGTACATTCATATTTCGTTAAAACATTATGAGCTCTCGCCAACGACCATACCACGTTGAATACACCAGTTCTCGTCCGATCACTGACGTTAAGCAACGTCGGGCGTAGTTAGTACTTGGATGGGTGACCGCTTGGGAACACTACGTGTCATTGGCTTTGTTTTTTGTTTTAACTATTTTTTAATAGTTATTTACAACACTGAACCGTTATGGTTTTAAATTATAAAGTTTATTGTTGAAAATTGTTTTATTTATTTAAAATTTTTTATTGCGAGTGATTTTGTGTTTTAATATGTAGTTCAATGATTTATCATATGTAATAAAATGTTTAAGTGCAATTGTTAAATGCATCAGTAAAATTTTGATTCATATTTTCAACACTAGTTTTTTACTTAATCAATGAAAATAGTATAAAAACTACTAAGCATCTATACATAAAAATAAAATTAGGGTTTTAAATTTAAAATATTTTAGAATTGAAAATTTCACTCTTCGTAAAATATTTCAAATTGAAAATTTGAAAAATATTTCTTTCCTACTTAGAGTTATATATATAGATAGTACTGGTGACTTTTTAGTTTTAATATGTTATTGTGCCACGTTTTTTCGAATGAAATCAGTTGAGTTTCAGGCTTATATATTACTTATGCTTATATATGACCATACTTCTGCGAGAGAGGTAAATTATAATGATAATTTAACTGAAATTAGTATTTGTTAATAAAATGGATATCGTAAATGATCATAGCTTGGCCATTGTTAACAATTTATAAATATTGCAACTATGAACAATCATCAGATTTGTTCTGTTCTATGAATTTCGCAGTATCACAATAGATTCAAATAATTTAATTTTATAGATTTAATGCAAAATTTAAGTTATATAAATGGGGAAACATAAACACTGAATAGGTGTTCAACCATGTTCTGACATTTTTAATAACTTATATCCAGCAATTATTTTTTGTAATTTAAAAAAAATAATTTAAACAATTTGGGACAATTTTACTATTAAAAGCATATTTTATTCATTGTCTCCTATAAGAATAAATATGTTTCTAAACACAATATTTTTTTACTTCTAACTTTCAACATTTTAAAACATCTTTTTTTTAGTCCTTTTCTTAGAAAATTATTTGATGAGTTGATTATAACAACTTTAGAATAAGTACTTATTGAGTTATATGCACTTTAACACATAACCATTTAATAAATTCAAACTTTATACATTCAGTAGTTAATATAAACATTTAACAAATTATATTTTTCATTAAAATAAAATAATTCACAATAATAAATTTCATGAAATTTTATAATCCTAAATATAATAAAATATAGTGCCTATGAACTTTGAAATATAATTGTTGAAGTTTTTATTGAAAGCTCTCACAATAATAAATCTAGTAATTTGTCCAATATACATTATGTGTATATTCATATATTAAAGGTTCTAAGTATTATCAAATAAATAATTAATCTTCCATCGCTCTATTAAAAATTCTAATTAAAATAATAAACTTAAAAAACATTTAATTTTTTTATAGATGATTTTAGTGTTACTCTGTATTAAAAGGTCGTCATTCAATGAAAACGTTACATAAAAGTGACAATTTTTAACAACTTATTTAGTACTGAAAAATATGAACCACTCATATTCAAAAATAAAATAATGACTATAAACTTTTATTTTATGACATAATTTTAATAATGAAATTATAGTTATTTCGTATGTATTAATTGTTTGCTTATTAATTCAATGATTTATTACATTTTACTTCTTCATTAACATGTTATTTCGTTTTACATGTTACGATGTACAATTATGTTTTGAATTTTGTGGTGCTTAAGTCTTAAAGACAAAAATTAATTTTTTTCGTTTCTTGTAAAGTAGTGTACACAACCTTCTTTTTATTTATTTATAAATAAATAATTATGTATAACATTATCTACATTTATTTTTTCCTATCAATGTAGGAAATGTAATTTTTTCAACTATAACTGTCGAAATTAAAATATATTATTATTAAATACAATTTTAACTAAACAATAAGGAATTAATTTTTAGCTAATTAGCAAAAGCAACCCCTCCTACTTATGCGTATACACATTACAGGCATATAAAATATACTTTGATCATGTTTAAATATTTCTTTATTATACACGTCGTTTTTTATAATTAAGAAACATTTTTTAATGATTCAAAATGTAATGCAAGACAGTGAAATAAATACGTATTTTGGTTAAGTTGTATAAATGTATACGACTTATTTATTTTATTTTATTTTTTAGAATATGTAAAATAATGATCATAAAACTATTTTTAATATCTCGAGTAATTTAAAAATAATTATTTTTGCACTTTTAATTACACTGTATAAGTTATAAGTAAGCATTTATAATACATACAGTTGATATAAAATCGTTTTTAATGATAATTGAAGAATATTTCAGACTATTAAAAATTTAATTTAAATATTAAAAATCAACATTCATAGATATATCAATGAGTATAAAAATACCTGTATTATACTTCATTTAACATAAATTTGAATATTCATTATTCCAACTACCTTCTAGCTAAAGGCAATGTAAAAAGCAGTTAAAGAAAAACAAAACTTCTCAACCAAGATATTTACATATTTTATTACGTTTTAAATGTTATACTACACCCGTTTAGTCTTTAAAGAAAAATGGAAGTAATTATGAGTTGGAAAAAGTAGGAAACTGATTTTGTATTAAAACGGTGTACCATTTTAAAAATGTAAATTTACAGCTACCGTATCCTACGTTAATAATCATAAAATTATTAAAAATGTGTAGAAGAATAATTCAATGTACAAAAGTTTTATTAGTTATATTTAGTCATCATTCTACAAGAATTTGATATTTGAATATTTAGTGTATCTAATTTTATACACAGTATTTAAAACATTGTACGAATTTTGATGATTCAATGAATAGGCGTTAAAACCCTGAAAAAAGTATTAAAAAAATCACAATTGTTATGAATATAGAAATTATGGTATCCAATCAGTTCATCACGTAGGTCAATCGTCGTCAAAATTAACCTAATAAAAATCTAAAAAAAGTTCAAATGAGTAAAGAATTTTTTTATTTTTTAGCTTTTAGGTAACGCAAACATTTAAGTTTATAATAATAATGGAGTCCAATTAAGGTGCCTCAACGCTCTTTATAAAAAATAAATTCGAACTAGGTAAAATTATTTGATAAAAAACGGTATCAGTATTATCTTGTAAAATGACACCATTTCATTGATCAATAATAATATAATTTTATTCGTTGTTATTGGCCAATGAAAAATTGGTACGTCCCGAATGAAATCGATGTGCTGACAAACAAAATGATAACGATATCACTTATGTATTGGATTTTCACGCATTGATTGACATATTGCTCGACTACAGTACATTGTTATTATTATCGTATTCGAATTGATAGAACATATTTATGTGGGTGCTGTTCCAAAAATAGAAGTGACAAAAGGTGTTAATTTAATTCAAAGTTTAGTCTGTCATAAAAATAATATAAAAATGAATTATAGCAAGGCGATAAATAATTTATTGTATATTTGAATAAATAATTATTGTTCTACGATAAATAAATTAATGAATTAATGAGCTATCATCGAAAAATTATAAGAAATTTATTTTTAATTTAATATAATAATATAATTTAATACTTTAAAAAATTCTCAATATTTTTTCCTTTGTAATGTTTCAGTTAACTTTGTCGATGGTGAAGTTTTTCACATAACAAGAGTTAGCCGATTACATATGGGCGCATATTTATGTATAGCATCTAACGGTGTACCTCCGTCCATTAGCAAAAGAGTCACGCTCAAAGTCCAATGTAAGTACATCAATTTTATAACATTGAGTTTACTATGCAGGGTTGGAAAAAAACCTTGCTTTTCTTTGACCAAGGCGTCACGGTTTTTTTAGGGATTTATCTAAAACACCAACCGGGTTTTGTATCAACCTATTACCCGGATCATTTTAGCAGGTTTTTACTTTTATAAAAAATCCGTCTTCAATAATAAATATATTTATGATACAAATAATAATTTTTTATATTGACCGACACAAACAAATAATAACAAAATTAAAATATCACAATATCCTCTACGCCCCCCTATCGGAATTAAAATATTGTATTTTTTATTTTTATACTTTTAAATATTGATTAAAATAAAAATAAAAAGCATAATTTTTTATAAAAAAAGAAAACAGTTTTTCAGAAGAAATTTGTTTTATGATTAATGAAATTTACAAATTAACAGTACGGATTTTTAAAAAAATTGTCTGGATTTAGCCCAGTGGATTTTTTTGGATGAGTTTTTTTCACCAACTCTGTTGCTATTTTTTTAATATTTATATCATTTTTCCTAACGTATTTGAATAAATGTGTTTTTTTACCAAAATTTTGAATATTTATAAACATATTTTGAATGAATTTTATNTATTTATATCATTTTTCCTAACGTATTTGAATAAATGTGTTTTTTTATCAAAATTTTGAATATTTATAAACATATTTTGAATGAATTTTATTACAGTTCCGCCAATGTTGACAATATCAAATCAATTAGTTGGAGGATATATTGGCCAGGATATTAAACTGGAATGTCACACAGAAGCATTTCCAACGTCCATTAATTTTTGGACGACCGAAAAAGGGGATATGATTGTTTCAGGTAAGTTCAAATAAGTGATTTTGTGAAAAACTGAACAAAAGTAGATATGACTGTTTCAGGGGAAAAATACGAGGCAGTTTCTACTGACAATGGATACAATAAATACATGATTTTGAAAATTAGAAAACTGTCTCCACAAGATTTTGGATCTTATAAGTGTGTGGCAAAAAACTCACTTGGAGAAACCGATGGATTCATCAAGCTTGATCGTAAGTTTTTAAAATTAAAAAAAAATACTGATTAATAATATTGATATACAATTTGTATATAGTTAAATAATATTAATATTAACATTAATTATATTTTTATTAAAAATATATGAAATTATACTGTTTTACATGTTAAGAAATAGTTTTACGGAAGTTATTATTATATTTAATAGGTTTTTCGTGATTTTCTAATATCGACTTTTGGAAATTGAATTACCTATTACATGAAAAACTAATATTTAATATATAGGTTTATAGGTTTATGCATTTTATTTTTCATTAAAATAATACGTTCCAATATTTTAATAAAAAATTCATTTAAAAAAACTGCAAAAATATTAAAGTTTAAACTAATAGAAAATTATAATACATTTCTATTTTCCATAAAATTTTAAAGCTAAAACGAGAATAATTTGACAAAATCAAATGTATTAGTTTTTTAGTTTTCAATTATTGATACTTCACTTTTGGTTATGGTTAGTTAAGGTAAGTGCGTTACTAAAAACAAAAAAAAAGTATATATATTTATCATAACTAGGGTTCAAAACTTTATGGAATTCTAAAAAATGCTTAGATAGTTACTAGGGAACTTGTTTGTGTACTTAATTTTGTTCATAACTGACATATTCTATGTGATATATTTTATTTATTTATCCTTGATGTGAGTTTGAGAAAGCGAAAATTTCGCAGGATTTCAATCGTTATGACAAAAGTCAATTTTAATTTTTACATACTGTGTGTACTTATTTTCAACAAAAATGCTAGTAGACGTTAAACTATAATTAATTACAAAGTAATGTGAAAAATAATTACCTGCTAGATTTATACATTAATTAATTACATAAATAATATCCGATATGATTTTTTTAAAGAATGCTTGCAGTTTCGCTAATTTTGTACAGAATTTAGATATTTTAACTTAAAAATAATCTTAAAATATTATGGCATAGGTATGGCATTTAAATGTTTATTTTTTATGCTGATCATTATAATATGTTGAAAAATTGTGTACAAAATGAGTACATCTTAAATCTATTTCTACACGAAAATAATTTGTTTTTTACTTAGCAATAAATTTTAGTCCTAAAAACATGAACAAATGTGTAACAAACACTGTAGTTTCGTTTAAGTACGTTTATTTTATATCTTCTTTACAAGAAGCTACATTCATTCCATTTTACATTTTCACATTTCATAATTTTATTTTCCAATTGTTCTAATTTATTTTTGGACTCTACAAGTTCTACATACTCGGTGCAACACCATATTGCTGTAACAATTATACTAAAAAGTTATTTGATAAATGTTTATGTCCAATATTTGCTATGTATTACCTCAAAAATAATTTACGGTTATAATAATGTTTGATGTATAAAGTAATATTTTAATGATTAATATTAGTTCTTATAAATATATTATTATATTATTTACCATATTACGTAGTGACATAGCATATTTATAAATTTTAAATACTTTTATATTAACTCCTATTATTTTAGCTTATAATTTCAGGAATTTATAATTTAAAAAGATATATGTCTGAGGAATAACAATAAAAATGGCAAATAAAAACATAAATAGATAATTAAAATATTAATAAATAAATAGAAGTTTTAAAAGCTATGGTAAATATATATGTTTGTGTTTGTCCATAGTTTTATTTTCGATTAGCATCGATCGGCAAGTTCTATACTGTATTGTGTAATGAACAAATTTATTAAATTGAATACTGTAATTCAATTAACAATGGTCTTTAATAAATGAATTAATAAAGATGAGTAAATGATATTGTTTACATAAAGAGAGACATCAAAATAGTTGGATTACATAGTCAAACTAATTAGCTCTTACAGACGATTAATCTCAATAGTTAATTTGTATAACTGATACTGATTATGAATATTTGTTTACAATAACCCAAGCATAATTTAAATTAAAGGAAGAATTGAAAAATAAGTTCTTTAAATTTATATTCCTTTTCAATTTACTAAGAAAAACTTAGATATTTTTTATGTAAATTTAGTTATTATTGACAAAATGAAGCTTTTATGTAACATATATATATATATTTAAATAAATATTATATTTTTATAATTTTCAAAGTTAAGGAAAATTACATTTTAACACGTAGATATGATATTCTACACATTAAGTGACATTAATTTTCATTTTCGAGCAATGAGCATTTTATTTTGTTAGTTATATGCACAACTTTTCATAATAATTTATACAATTTTAGACTCCATAAAAATGGGCCAAAACAATAATATATATTTTATGTACTTATTGCCCAAATTAAAATGTTTTCATAGAACCTTTTGAACCTAAAAATTAATTAGAAATTTGATAAAATTATATTTATATGCTTGAGTTTGAGTAATTATCTTTTTTATTATGGTAATTATGTTAAATATTATGTTTTGTTTAATAGAGATCCCAATGCCATCTAAACCTATGATAAGTTTTGAAGATATTGACATTGATAATGAAATTGAAAAAGGTACGTTTAAAATACTATCCGTCTATTCTTGATTTATCACTAAAAAAAATTATTTTATCTGGTTAAATCAATTATTTAGTTAATTAGATAATAGAGTTTTATTTTTATTAAAACAATTTTGTAAAATAAATCCATTTTAAATGTAAACATTGATATGCACAACAAATAAAGCTGTATCTCAAAAGGTTTGATTTTGAGGCAAATGATTAGATGAGGTATTTGAATTTAAGTTTTATTTCTCTTATAATTAATATGGTCTGTCGAACAGGAATTAAAGAAAAATATTTAATTAAACTAATTAAATCACTCTGAAGTTTAAATATTTGATAACTGATTAGACTTAGATTATTTAATTAATAATACACAAACAAAAATTAACTAGTTGAATATTAGACCTATGTTTTTTTTTTATCGTTATGCAATATTTTAGCAGTCTACTACTCTATCTTATTAAAGTCATTTTTCTTATTATAATAAATTAAGTATAATTAAAAATGTATGTAGTGTAAAATAGATTGATAGTAAATTTTACGAATAAATAATAATTATTCGATTGATAAATTATTTATCAATCGAATTAAATTTGCGTAGACTAATTCTTGGATTTTCTTTTAAGTTTTTTTTTTTTTTTGTGTAATTTAACAGCTAATCTTAAATACAAAGGCTGCTACCTAATCCTAAATAATAATACACGGACTACGACAATAACGAATAAATAATAATAACAAAATAATAATAATAATAACACAACAAATATAATAAGATAAATACAATTTTGGTAACTAAAATCATTATAAATATCGTAAGTTGAATTGGTACGTATCAAAATTTACTAGAACAAATTTACTAATTCGCAGTAGCAATGGACCACAATTAATGTATTTTTGATACCTTAAAAAAATTTTAATTTATGTAACAACATGTATACTACTCAATTTAAATTATTTATATTAACGACAATAAGAAAAAAACTGATAATTATATTTACCAATTAGCCGCAATTGATGCAGTTACATAAAAGTTAATATTTTTTTCGTTTCACTAAATTATATGTCTGTTTCTATAAAACAAAATAAACTTTTCTCAATATAAATTTTAACAAAAACGATCATTTTTATCAACAGATTATTATTAATTAAGTGTTTAAATAGATGTAACAATTGATCGACCGATAGTAGTGATATTCACAACGTATAGTGTACACAGTCTTATTGTAGTGGCAAACACGCACAGCTCTATGTTGCACCCGCAACATCATTATTCGTTGCGCATATCATCATAATATTTTGTAATCAAATTCTAATTATTTTAATTAAATTATATTATACAATTTGTAATCAATTAATTTACATTATGGCGATAATATCGTCATCAGTGGTTGGAACCTTTCAAAAAAGAATCGGTTCAAAACAATTTCTGATGAAGATAATGAAGAATCCCCAACTGGAACCTCAAATTATTTTTTATATAGAGTCCTTTGAAGTACGGAACCCTACAAAAACACGGTTCTTTTAAAGGTTCAATTATAAACTATGTTACCATAATCTATATGAATAACGCGTTACCATTTTAAAATAAAAATTATGTTATTATTACAATAATATTTAGCGGTAGAAATCATAATGGTAGAAATAATATTTATTGAAAATAAATATTATTATTATTTATGATGGAAAAATAATCAATTTTTACTTGTTGAAAGTCGCATGACATCAAATATTTTTGAAAAAACATTCGAGTCAAAAAAAGACTATACTGATTCTTAATGCCTTTTGCATTTCTTTGGCTCATGTTCATTTGTTGTTCAAAGACTAAAAATATAACTTTCCTAAAAAATTGCTTTATTATAGACGCAACCAAAAAATTCTTAGTGAAAAATAATTGTATGTATATAGGACTTTATATGTAATAATATACAGTTACCTCAATTAGGCCGTCAAGAATAAATATGATTACTTCTAAATATAACTCTGTATATAACAATAAGGTTATTTATATGATCACCTATTGGGCAGTACCCTTTTATAACCAGTTCTTAACAGAATCCCTTAAAAAATAAAAGTTTATGAACTCTAATAGAACCGGAACCTCCTATTTTTTATTTTATGAATATCTTTAGAATTGGTTCCTAAAAATCTCAAATGTTCCAACCCTTGTTCATCATTATATTTTATTTAAATGATAATCTAATTATTATTATTGGTGATTAATTTTCATGTCAATTTTATGAATTATTTCATTTTCTTTGTGTATTTTTTTTAGGCATTTATGAAGAAAACACATCATCAGATTTAATTTTGTTATCATTTCCGACCGATAACAACTTTTCCAGTTCAGCGTTTTCCCTTAACTATTCCTATTCTAGTTGGATTTTAAGACAATATTTTATAAGCATATCAATTATCTTGCTCTATTTTTTTAAATATTTTCCACTTGACTTTTAGAGTAACGATTTATATATCTTTGTAAAACATTGTTATTTTATGTTGCATTTAAATCATGTAAATAAATGTAAAGTAGCATCATAAAATTTGTAAATAAGTCATTTATGTTTTTAAATATGATTGATTTTTTTTTATTTATAAGATGATAGAACTATTCAAAATAAAATGTATATGTAAAATATTGATGAAAAAAGTTTAATTTTTTGTTTTTATCCTTTTGTCTCAGATAATTCATAATATTACATAATCTGAACAACCATTTTTTCGTTCACTATTTTTGGTATATTAATGAACTAAAATAAAGTTTGTAATAAGAACAAATAATTGAACGGCTTAATTTTCAAAGCTGAATGAAATTTATATCTAACAATAAACAAACTATTATTTAATGAGAGTAGTTCAAAATCTTTGCCAAAATTATACTTCAATTGTGTTGTCCAATTTGTTTATTATAGTACTTGTAAGATTAAAAGCTAAACCATCGAAACAACTAATTCCCAGCAAATTTGGGTTAAATTACAGGGTAAACCGTTTATATGAGCCACTTAATTAAACATAGAATATAAATAATTTTTAAAACATTTTTTTGGTTACTTTTAGTTATATATTTTTCTCGATCTATTAACTATTTAGTACTTTTTGAGTTCATTCGAGGAATTATCGTATATTATATATGTATTTAAAATGTTTGAAAACTTTTATATCTAAGTATTGCATTTAATAAACGGATGATGTTGTATTAAAAATTGAAAAGCGATTAAAAAACACTTAAACAATTGTATTAAATGCAAAATAGGCGTTGCAATTAAAAAGTATAAATTTGACATTATTATAAGGTATAAGATATGAACTTCAAAAGTTTGTATGACTAATAATTCAAAAACAATATTTAACTAAAAGAAACGAAACAAAATTTACAAACTTGTTTATACTTTGCGAGTAATTGAGTGGTTTATGATAAACGGATCACCCTGTATAGAGAAAGAGTTTACCGAGGGTCTACAGTGGACACATAGTATAACAACATGTTATCAAACATTTGGAGAAATGTATGCTTAAGTGGGTGTAAGATGAGTCAGTGAAAAGTCAGTAAAGGTATTGAGCTAGACGGATAAACATACTACACGTAGTCGTATATAATGTTCTTTGTGCAACGTGTATTTACTTTCTCTCTCTATTTTTCATTGCAACTGTATACAGCTGTTTCTTTAAAAATTTATCGCCTCTGTCAGACTCTATCGATCGGATCGTATATCTCGATGGACCAGCGGATGGTTTCCCGGGAGAAACACTTAATCTGCATATAGCGATGCCTATCGAAACAAATTGACTGAATTGACCAATAGACAGTAAGATAGTGAGTAATTAAGGTATTAATATAAACTATTTTAATTAGTTTTTTCTTATTACCAATATGGTATATTATATCACATCAAATCTATTATAAATTGATAACTTTTGACAAACAAACGTACTTAATGAAAGTACATTACATTGTTTAATCTCTTTTCCTGTAATTGAAGGGCTTGGTGCATTAACCAAGTAAGTCCATTTAATTTAATTTTTCGGGTGAAACAATTTTATAAAAAAATTTTCCTTAAAAGCGATAGTAAAATGTTTTTTTTTTAAATTAAATATCTTTACAAATAATAGGAAAATAGAAATAGCTTCTGTAATGAATTCTACAGGAAAATCATATCTGTTCAAAATTGATAACAAAATTATTTTCCGCAGAAATTGGATTTATATGGTTGTTGCATCGAGCCCTTCAATTTGAAAAACATATCAACCCAGTATAAGACTTAGAAATTTGCTAAAAAGAAGTTCTGAAAAGTTATGAATAACTCTGACAACCTTTGTTATTATTTTACAATATATATTTTTTTATTATTAAATTTGTTATCATCTCGTTTTAATAACTTATTTAGCTTATTTATAATTAAAAATATATTTGAAATATTAATTCACTAAAAAACTAGAAGAAGGGGAAAATTAGGCATTTATAAAACTCAACGTGAAAGTTGTACTAAATGTTACGTAGGACAAACAAAAAGAAACATAGGGGTCATGTTTAAATCTCATGTTGCTGAACATTTATTGGCACATAACGATTCCATTAAAACCATAAAACTAATTGAAATCGTAAACAATTACAAAGAACTTATTATGAGGGAAGCAATAGAAGTATTTAAAAATAAATATAATTAAATTTTTTGAGATTAGAAATGCATTGTTTTACTTGTGTAAACTGGCAAAATGTGACAATCGACTAGGTGATAACATCGCTTAGAGATAATCTCACTAAGTGATAAGGTCCCTAGAGGTAAGTAAGGGAATTTTTTTCGGTTCGTGTGTCAGTATGTGTTTAGCGTTGATAACGGTAACATTGTTTCCGAAAAACGGGTCCGCAATTTTTCAGTAATTTTTGGGGTTTTTTTAGTTTTAAATTAACATTTTAAATTATATTAGTCACAAGTAATCAATTTTTATTATATATTTAGTTTACTTTAAGAATGGAAAAACTTCAATCCTTCATTAACATATGGTGAATTTATAAAATTATGTAATGTTAAATATATATATATTGTCGAATCAAAATAACTGAGGTTGAAAATATATGTATTCAATTAATATGTCAACCCAATTTAGAAAGTGAAAATTAAATTTAACGTTTCGCATCATATATCATAAGTTATTAAATATTTTACCTATTTACGTTTAATATATTTTGGTAGCCTTCTTTTTTTTTGGCTTTTTCTTATTTGTGGGATCAACAATATTGCTCACTGTGCGTTTAAAAAAGGATTTTGCAATTTCAGTTTTTTCCTAAACTCATAGTATATCGGTACTTCGAAATTGAACCTCACCGTCGCCGCGGGTTAATAGAATACGTATACTGCACAATGTATATGAGATAGTGTATTCGTTTACTGTGTTATGGCGCTGTCGGCCGTTGATAGATTGAGTACATTTCGGTTATTTTTATTAAACCGACGACGATCTGGGAAAAAATAAATGAAACACAAAACAAAGTGTAATGTTTTTGCACGCCCACCCAAGGAGTTGTAGGAAAGCGGGTTAAATCCTAAAGGAGATACAAACGATCTGTGATTTTTCACGTAATAATGTTAAAAAAGTTTCTTCTTCGCTTCAACAAATTTGCATAGCTATTGCCAGAGATCTAACGTGTAACTTCCTGGAAGTTAATTGGTAAGATTATATGATATTCCATCCCGATTCTAAAGATTACGTGTAAAGTGACAAAATGATACCCATTCATTTTTTCGTTCTATATTTAATACTTATGTTGAGTTGCCAATAGTTGAGCTGTTTGCGTTCAATGCTACGGACTGCACATGAAATACAGAAAACGTATATCGAATGTACAAAGAAAATATTACAAACATTGGTAAACAAATAAAATTATTATCATTAACTGACCATTATACTGTTATATAATTTAATTGAAAATATTTTTTTAATTACCCTTTTTTTTTTTATCATCAATACTAATGCTATAAAAAAAAATCAATATAAATAATACAAATTTCATTTTTATTTCTTATAACTAATGTCAACTCCTGAGAAGAAATTCCTATTAAAAAATAAAGGTGAGTCAATTAAAAATTTTACAAGATACTTTTGTTTATATTTAATATATTTTGTAAAACACTTTTCATTATAAAATCACTCATATGTAAAATACAAAAATAACAGGTAAAAAGACATTTGTATAGTTTGTTAAATGCGTAAATTATTGTATAATTTTGAATTTTACACGTCAAATAAAGAACTTACAGAGTTAAGAAACTTCCTATTAGAGGGGATCGCAATCGCGTTCAATTGGTCGTATAAAGCGATTAAAAAATAAAGAACTTATAAGGAATTATTTAAATACATTTATTATAAAACATGTTTAGATCAACAAATTAGGTTTTTTTTAAAAATATGTTGTTTTTTAAATATGAATAAAAAACTACCCTATTCCTATTCTTGAATTTTCAACGCTCTTGTTGCAAGGAAATCACAACAAAACTTCAAATTTTGTTGCTTATAGTAATAAATAAAATTGGGGCGTCTCGCAAACAAAAAATACATATATTGTTTTTACTTTATATATAACAGAGGGCCAATCTAATATTACCCTTATGTAAATAAATCACTTAAAAAAAAATACATTGAAATGGTTGTGAATTCAATAGAAAATAATAAATAAATTATTATAACGGTAACACTATAAATATTAATATAAATAAATAGTGATTCTAATACAAATAAATAGAATCTAATGGGGACAGCCCAAGTTAAACTCTCTCTCGAGTCTTTTATTTCGCTTCTTCTAACCTACTATCTCATTATTAGATTCATAAATCTAATAATTAAAAGTTTGGTAACTCAACGTCACCCTTTTTAATTACATTTTATGTCACGACATATTAAGTAGTTTCGTTATTGTAATTTGTAATTCAAGTTAAGTTGCTACTCAACACTGTGCGTATTCCATGAATTGAAATGCTTGTAACTCAGTAAGTATTCGTTGTAAAGTTATTATCGATCAATTAATTATTTTTGTGAAAAATTTGAAGAAATTAAAAATTATAAAAAATATGATTTTAACATAGTCTAATAATAAATATAAAAAGAATAAAAAATCATTTTTTTGATAACCCTGATTGGGGTTGCAAATTGAGTTCAACTATTTAAAACTAGTCTATTACTTGGGACGCATACTTGCTGTACTTAGCCGTACTGCTGTGGACGATGGTCGGTGAATACCCGAAGACCTTCAATTACAAAAGTTGTCGATGTATGTCTTTCATGTTTATTTTCTTTTTCTCTGTTCCCTTTAATTTGTAAACAAGGTTTTTTGGTTCCTGTTAGTTTAATTTGTTTTTTTTATTAATTAATTTCTTTTAAATTAGTATAATCATAACACTCTTTATCTCTTGTGTTCCGTCTTCAACGGTCTTGTGTATCTCTTTCTCTAACACTTCAAAAATTATTTTCCTCTAGTTTATATTATTATACAGGCAACGGTTTTTTCTGAGGTCATACCATCTAATTACGGTCTAAACTCTTATTTCGAGATAATAGTTTTACATCAGCATTCAACGACTCAAGTATTATATTTTAAATTGAAAAATTATTTCTATCGCT